ATGAGAGAGCTTTTGGAACCCGGTGGTGGAAAGGTTTGAAAAAAGACTGGTTTCGTGGAAAAAGAACTACTTCTCTCTTGGTGGGAGAATTACACTTATTAAGGCCACGCTTGCTAATTTACCTATCTTTTTCCTGTCGGTGTTTAAAATCCCAGTGAAGGTTGCTAATAGATTGGAGAAGTTAATGAGAGATTTCCTGTGGGAACCGGGAGAGGAAAAGAGGGATCATAGAGTTAGTTGGGAGATAGTTTGTAGGAGTAAGACCTGTGGTGGTTTGGGGCTTGGGAATATTAGGAGAAGGAATATGACTCTGTTGGGAAAGTGGTTGTGGAGATTCCCTTTGGAGAAGGAGAAGCTATGGGCTAGAATAGTGGCAAGTATACATGGGCGGGAGCATAATGGATGGGACGCTGGAATCAGAGCTAGGACCACAAGCAATTCTCCTTGGAAAGCCATTCATGACCTGCTACCAGCTTTCTCCCCTAATATCAGGTATGATTTGAATTCCGGTAACTCCATAAATTTTTGGGAACAAACCTGGGTGGGGAGTGCCCCTCTAAAGGACCAGTTTTCTCCCCTACCAATCTCGCCTTTCACCACCCCGTCCTCTTCCACTTCTGGGATTGGGTGGAACTTGGGCGGATTCTAGAATTTGGACCCCACTAGGGCAGATTCTAGAATTTGGACACCTACCCCCAACGACATATTTTCTTGTGCTTCTTTCTTCAAAGTCTTAAGTCAGTCCACCAATCCTACCTTCCCCCTTTTTCCTGTTGATGAGGTTTGGTGCAAAGCAATACCTCCTAGGGTTGGTCGTTTTTGTTGGGAAGCCTATCTGGAAAGAAGCAACACTGATGATCTACTCCAAAAGAAGAGACCCAATACTTGTTTGTCACCTCAATGGTGTGTTCTTTGTAAAGCGGATGGGGAGACTGGTTTTCACCTACTGGTGTCTTGCCATTTTGCGAGGTCAATTTGGGAATGGGCTTTGTCCCTATTTGGATGTAGCTGGAATCCCCCATCAGACTTGCAGGGACTTTTTTCCCCTTCTATTTTTAGGTGGCGGATAAAAAAGGGGAAGGACAATGTGGAGAGGACTAAGGGCTGCAATATGTTGGACACTTTGGGAAGAAAGAAACTCCAGGATATTCTCAGAAGCTCAGAGTGGAGCAGCAGATCTGAGGGCTTTCATTCATATTAGGGCGGTACATTGGCTGAAATCTCTGGAGCTTTTCATAGATTACACTGTGGATGACATGTTGAGGAAGTGGGGTGAAATTGCAAGTTGCACACAGCCCAAGTCAGTTATGAGTGTGGCTTGGACCCCTCCACTTGGTGGATTCGTGAAATTAAACTTTGATGGGTGTAGCAGGGGAAATCCGGGTCAATCAGGGATTGGGGGTGTTTTTAGGGATGAAAATGGGGTCATTTCTACCATGTTCTCAGGCCCAATTGGAGTGGGTGACTCCCTTAGAGCTGAGATCTTTGCAGTTATGGAAGGAGTACAGAAATCTAAGGAGTTGAACATTAGGAAACTCTTAATTGAAGGGGATTCAGAGGTGGTGATAGGGTGGCTGATTAAAGATCACAATGGCTTATGGAAGTACAATAATGAGAGGGGGAAATTCAAGTGGCTGGTGCGGGAGATGGAAGTTAAGATACGTTGGGTTAAAAGATCGGCCAACTCCCTAGCTGACGGTTTAGCTAAACAAGGGGCAGAAAGGGACTCACTGTTTTGGGCTAAGCTGTAACTATAGTKTGTTTTCTTTCTTTCTTTTTTTCCTTTTCTTGAGGTTCTTTGTTGCTCTTGGAAGATAAGCGTGTTTGTCTTCCTATTGTAAATATTCTATTGATGAGTTAATGAAAGTGTTATTGATAAAAAAAAAAATAGGAGACGTTAAAAACCTATCCAATCTTGAGCAAATCGGGTTAGCTTGGAGATTGGACCAAGTGAAACAGGATTGACCTAGTGGGAAGTCTCTTAATTCAAAGTCAAAGTCCTCAATAAAGCTGTCGAATTTCTTCATACTCAAAGTAACTCTCTGTCTTCCTCCAATCGATTCATCCACATCTTATCACATTAAAATCACCTCCTAAACTCCAAGGGCCTTCCCATTAGACCTCTAACATCTGCTAATTCTTCCAACATCATGTTCCTTTCTCTATAGGAATTTGGCCCATAAACATTGGTAAGAACCCAATCAAAGCCATCTTGATTATTCTTCAACTTCACTGAAACTGAAAATCTTCCCACTAGCTCTTCACAACAGGAAAACATATCTTCCTTCCAAATTGTGTTATGATTCCCCCTAGAAGCACCCCAAGCTGGTGCATAGCACCTTCGATAATTTCTTTCTCCCCACAAACTCCTGATCCACTTCCTATCAACCTCCTGAATCTTGGATTCCTGGATCAGAACTATATCTGGCTTTTCTTTCTTCAATATTTCCTTAATCAATCTCCTTTTTGTGGCACTTCCTAGCCCCCTAACATTCCAACTGATGATCTTTATTGAACTAACTGAAAAATCCAAAACACCTTTTCTCCCTAAAAGCCTCCTTTCCTCCTTCCCCCCTAGCACTAAACTCTTTGTCCCCTTTCAATATCATTAATTAATTTCTGCACTTCATTCATCTCTTTTTTTCCACCCCTTTTTTCCTGGCTTTTTTTGAACAATCTCCTTGTCTGTTTTCTCTAGATTAAGGCCCATTCTATTGGAAAAATTCATCAGCTGGTCCTCTCCCACTTGCACCTTCCCTCCTGCAAAAACATCCTCCCACCCACTACTTTTTCCTGTTGTTTCATCAGATCAGTGTCATCCTTCCTCATATCTCTTTCTTCTCTGCCCTTCTCTCCCTCCTCCCTGATCTCTTCCTTCCTCATATTTCCCCCCGGAAGAAATTCCCTCCCTCTTACAAATATGCTTTAGAACCCCAGCCGGAAGTTACCTTTCCACACTCTCAACACTGTTATTCAAGTCCATGGGCTTAATCGTAGTAGGAACAAGGACCAGGTCATCTGCAAGAGAGCTAACAGAGGAATCAGTAGCAAAACTGAAAACACGAGAGTTACAAGGGCTACCATCCACCAAAGGAGGGAGCAAATCAACAACAATAGGTGTTTCAGCAACCGAACCACCTTGACTCGGGCCTAGGTTGCAAGCATCAGGGTAATCTGTTTGGGGAAGACCCATGGCTTCTACAACCTGATCAGAAATTGGAGCCATATCCCTTGCAGGTGTTTCCTTCGAAGCATAATAGATCCCCTGCTCAGCCACCATCTGAACATCCTGCCTTAGTTGTTCACAAGAGTGGGATTTCCTAACCGAGAGGCCACAGGAAGAACCTTGCTGTTCCTGGATGTGGTTTGAGGCATTCTGAAAGCCAGAGCTTTGTCGGCATCCTTAACCCTCACAAGACATCTGCAAAGGTTCGTCGAAGGAAGACCTCTCTACAACTTCAGTTTCACTAACCTTGTCTGCCGCAAACAAGGCACCGATGTGATAATCCTCTTCATTGTCCAAACTGATTTGTATTGTCCCATCCACACTCCCTATGCTGGATTCTTCATCAAAGTAGCACTCTTCCTCTTTATAATCGCAATCAATCCACCGTCCGTCATCCTCTTCATTGTCCTGAACCTCTTTTGATCTAGCATTACCTGGGATTAAGCTTTTCCTGCTGAGAAGGGGAGCGTCTCGCCCACTGTAGTTTCAGCATTTCCCTTTGATAGCTGCTGTCAGGGATCGATGGGGACAATGATACACCCAAATTAGCATCCTCCATTGATCCACCACCTGTTCTACACGTGACATTTAAGTTGTCACGTGCAGTCTCCTTGAAGCTCGGTCCGACCACTTGGTTCAGCCCCGGTCTTGAGATTTTATTTCCCAAAAACTTCCCCTTTAAAATGTCCATATAGGACGCAGGTCCCTCCCTTTGAAATTCAAACTTATTTGAAAGCCCGATTAATAAAGGCAAAGTGGAGCCTAAATTAATTGAGCCCGACAATTTGGTTTCCTTTGGGGGAAACCCAAGTCTGACTCCCGAAACTTCCAATCTTGTTGATCCACGTGGCCTTTGTCTTGCCACGTGAGAATCGTCTTCTCTCCTTGCACACTCCCAGAGCGTTGATTCAACTTCCGGTGCAACCCAAACCTGCCTCCACCTTCCATTGGGAAACACTTCAAGCATTCTTGGTATCTTCTCTGGCTTAGCATCTCGAATTCGTTAGGTTGCTGCACAAAGGTCAGAGAGATTCACCTCTTTTAAGGAACCGCTGCACAATGTGGCAATCTGGAGGAAAACCTCCTATGCCCAAAGATGGAACGGAAGTCCGAGTACTTTCAGACTGATGGTACAACTGTCGACCTCCAATTCATTGCAGGAAGGGCACCGGTTCTCCACCCTAGTATGACAGGGACAGACTGGGGAGATGTTGTCAGGTACATTAGTAGTTTAGTATTGACCTGTTTTGACAGGTAAATTTCCATTTTGAAACACTTGTTACAATATAGGTGATAGTGTCAGATATTTATTTTTTAGTTGGTAACAAAATCTTACATTAATATAAAAAATAAAGCAAATAATATGAGAAGCTCAATAATTCAAAGACCACCCTACATACCCAATTACCCACCCTATCCTAGATAATTTGGAACCCAAAAGACCACCCAAAGGTCTGCTCGAAAAGACAAAAAAATAAATACCATGACACTGCAGATATTTCTAGGCCATTTTGCAAAAATCATTCTATTAAGATTTGCAGACTCTAATCCTAGTTCTTGATAGTTAATATTGGCAAAACTATCTGCAATAAACCATGTTTTTAAGGCTTATAAGTTGTAACTCCTATGGATTTTGAGCCATGTTTCTGAGAGAAACCAAGTGTTACCTGTTACAGTTACATTCTAACTGCAGCCATTAAATAATTTGTTAATCTAGTTTATTAGATTGGCATGTTTCCTCTTTCTGGGCCTTATACTTGATGTGGTGACACAGAGAACGGAATACAGAACTGATCAGGGAAGCAATACATGTCCGCTACATGTTTCTCCCATACTTCTACACATTGTTCAGAGAAGCAAATACAAGTGGTGTTCCTGTTATGCGTCCTCTCTGGATGGAGTTCCCTTCAGACGAAGCTACTTTCAGTAATGATGAGGCTTTCATGGTTGGAAACAGTATTTTTGTACAAGGAATCTATACTGAGGTGAGGCTAATGGTTTTCTTCTACTTTGTTCTGTGTGCATGTATATATTGTTAAGCTTTTTCCCCCTAAACTAAATTGTGATAACTGATAAATAATACTTTTGGATCAGCATGCCAGACATGCATCGGTATATTTGCCTGCTGGACAGTCTTGGTATGACTTGAGAACTGGGGTAGCATACAAGGGAGGTGTGACTCACAAATTGGAGGTTTCAGAAGAAAGCATCCCTGCTTTCCAGAAAGCTGGCACCATTGTTCCAAGGAAAGACAGGTTCCGCCGAAGTTCCACCCAGATGGTGAAAGATCCCTACACTCTGGTATGTCTCTAGTGTTGAACCATCCTTTTTAATCTTTTCCACTGCAATGCAAACCAACACAATTTTTACTTGAGACTGGACATGTGGGACTCTCCCAGTCTTCCTCTCTCTGAACTTTTTTTTTTTTGAAATTAAGGTGAAATTTCATTAAAAGGAGGGAGAGGTTCCCTCAAAGCCAGATACAACGAGAGGAAAAAGATTAAAGATAAAAAGGGAGAGCCAGAGAGGTCACAGGGAACAAACAAAAGACTAATTATATAGCATGAAAAATTAACATCCCTAAGCAGCCTCTCCTAATGATTACAAATGTGAGAATACTTGAATCAGAAAAATCTTTTGTGATGGATGCCCCTCTGATTAGATATCACTCCACCCTTCTACACGTCAACTTCAACAGTGAGCTTACATCATCAAAATATCTTCTGTTTCTTTCATGCCAAAGACACCGGCAGACAGCAGCTGGGACCATATTCCATAAAATGACACCCCTTTTGCTGAAAGAACTGACACATTAAGAAGAGGTCAAGCATTGGAGGTCAAGGGGAAACCCAAACAATGCTAAACAGACCCAAGAAATTCACCCAAAATCCCAAAGTATGTGAGTGAACTCACAATGAATGAGCAAATTCTGGATTGACTCTTCAGCAGCACTGCAAAGGCAGCAATGCTTTATGATTGCCATGCCCAACACTCACAAATTATCAATCATGAGAATTCTTCTCTTGATAGCCATTCATAGAAAGAAAGAGACCTTGGATAGGATCTTCAGCTTCCAAATCCATTTCCAGGGAACCACCTCTCCAGAGAAGATACCTGATTTTACAGAGAAGACACCTGATTTTACAGAGAAGACACCTGATTTATCACCTATCTACCACACATGGCCCTGCTCCAAAAGCTGCAAGGGCATCTGCTCCAAAGATCCCATTGCAGCACTAAGAGGTTCAAGATCCCAATCGTCCATGTTTCTTGTTAATCTCGGGGTCCATACAACTCCGTTACCAATACTTTCATAGTAGTCTTTCACCCTAGCTTCCTTGTCAAGAGCCAAGGTATAAATGCTTGGATAATAAGCATTAAGATGTGGGCTGTTACCACACCAATGGTCCTTCCAGAAATAGATATATGTTTTCATCACTACCCAGCCTGGAAGAGATCAATGAAATACCCCTCTCCCAACAAAGAAATATCCCGTTTCTTACTTTCCAAGTTACAGTATGAAGAAGAATTAATACTCTTTTGCCTTTTTGGATCTAATCATACAATGCAATATAAAATTATCTTCTGCATAGGCAATGTGTTTATTTAGCAAACCAAACAAGCCAATTTGTCCTGACATTTTGGTCGGTATCTTCTTATGGAAGCTATCCTGGGCCTGGGGACACAGTACCCATAGTTGTACTCTAGGGCTCATAACTTTCCATGTCTTGATACCCATAGGATCATGACCCATCATCCAATGTTAACTATCCAATTTTACCTTCAAAAAAAAAAAAAAAAGAGTGAACACACCAGTATTCCTTCCATGCACCTGGGATCAACACCTGTGTACGGTGTGTTCACTCATGATTGGTTATGTAGCCCTTTACACACAACATAGCAAGTATCAGATCTGGGCTCCATCCAATGGATCTCACCCAAAAGAGGGTCTACACTAAAAATAGCATGATCAGTTGACTTTCAAGTATTTGATTTTAAATTTATTAATGGAGTTTTCAAAGAGTTATGATACATCTCTTTTTCACTATCCAAATACTTTTATTAAAAGCATATTGTTGTTGTTACAATCATTGTTTAGAAAACCGGACTGGACCGGTGAGTCCAACCAGTTCAATTGTGGCTTGGCCCATTAGTTGGTTCGGTTGGACACTGAAAACTGTAATTCATGAAAACTGGCTGACCGGCCAGTTTTAACAAGAAAACCGGTGAACCAATCCCGGTTTTATGAAACCACCTGGGTCATAATGTGAATAGAAACTTCAAAATGTTGATAATAAGACTTGAATCCAAGACCTCTCATTTATGTGTGTTAACTTGTTACCATTAATCCATCTATTTGTTTACATTTATTTGCGCCTCTTTAATGTATTTATTGCTTTAATAAAATGTGAGGGCCCATTTGGTTTGTAGGAATAGGGGTTTGGAATTGGAATCAGAATCCCATTCCTGGTGGAATGGCATTCCCTCGCCTTCCCTTGGGAATCAGAATCCCATTCAGGGTCCATAAGATTGCTTTTGGCATATCAAGTCAAATGTTTGTAACTTTCAGTTAACTGAGTAACAAATGCAAAATCTTATTACCTTAAATATACGTTGGTTTTCTATTTATTTAAAATTTATAAATTGGCTTTTCTGAAATACTTGATAATGCTGCCCAACATCATCTTCTCACATTGATTATGTTTGTCTCTTTTAGGTGATAGCTCTGAATAGCTCCAAAGCAGCTGAAGGTGAGCTATACATAGACGATGGCAAGAGCTTTGAATTTGAGAAAGGAGACTACATCCATCGCCGCTTCCTGTTTTCAGACGGCAAGCTTGTATCTTCAAATGCATCACCCCCAGCCTCAAGCAATACACCATTTTCTTCAGATTGTTTTATTGAGAGGATTGTTCTTCTAGGGCTCTCCCTTGGGGCAAAAAGTGCCATCATTGAACCTGCAAACCATAGAGTCGATATCGAACTTGGGCCACTTAATCTTCGAAGGGGACAAATGCCCTCTTTTCCTACCATCCGCAAACCCAATGTTCGGATTGCAGATGACTGGACTATAAAGATTTTGTAGGTGTTTATAGATTTAGCAAGCACAGCTAGGAGCTAGCCTTCTGGACCAACATTTTAATGCAATGGTGAAATTTTATGCAGAAAGAGAAGATTAAATTATAGCTTCAGTTTTATTATATGCCAAAGTAGTAAATTCTTCAATAAGATTCCTGATCTCGATACAGTATTTGATAATGTGATCAAACAGTAAGTAACAAACCAACATCTGCTTGAAGACATATCCACACATTCAGACCCACAGATCTCTCACTTGGTGACATAATTATACACATTAGATATCTGTTGCATATCTCTTGCTAGGGTTCTTCTGAGACTAGAGAGCAGCTCTTGAAACAGTATACTTAGCTATACATTCTTAACATGAAAGCTATGATTGTTGTTGCTTCTCAACACTTGACCACACTTGGAGCCGGCTGAGACCGAGTGTGAGAGGCAACGCAGGTGAGAGCTCAACTCCCCGACCTTATTGCCATCCTTCAGGTTGAGCCAATGACAATCATCAAACGAGCATCCAGGCTCCCCGAATGGTGACTCCACAACATCAGCGGGCCTCATGAAAGTGGGGCCCCAAGCGGGTGTCCCATCTTCGTATGAATTATGCGTCAATCTCTTAATGCCAGAACCGTCCGATCTAGCTATGAAGATTTCACCGTATGGTTGATAGTGATGCGGGTTTGATATAGGCTCTGCAGACACCCCAACATAGTCCGACGTGAACACAATGCTCCTCCCGTCGGGGCTGAAAGATGGATGGTTGGTCCGGCCGCCTTCGCCGCTGTGAACCACCTTCATAAGCCCGGTCCCGTTCGGATGTATTAAGTAGAGGGCGAAGCCTCCTCCACCTGGGTTGTCCCGGTCCGATGCAAACGCTATCCACTCGCCGTCGGGAGACCAGCTGCACATCGTGTCCGTCCACGGGCCTTCCGTAAGCCTGCGGAGTCCCCCTTTTTCTCCTTCTAGTGCGTCCATCACGTAGAGGTTCTTGTGACCCGACCGGCCGGACCTGAAGACAATCCACTTCCCGTCCGGAGAAGGTGACGGAAAAGCATTGTTTTCCCCTCCTAACGTCAGCTTTTTGTATGTGCCCGTTTCATCGCCGTCGATGGTGATGGAGATTACGTCTACTTCGGTGCTCTCTTCGGCGAATTCCGGACCAGCACTGGTGTAGATAACGCCTTTCCGCTTCCAGTCCCAAGCTGTGGAGAAGGCAGTGCCGGGAAAGACTTCACGCTTGCCAGAGCCGTCGCGGTTCACCACATAAACTCCCGGAAAATTAACATAGGCGATTCGGTTTCCGTCGGGGGAGAACGATGGGAAAGACCCGTCTATCCTGAACAGAGAGATACCTGGTGCTGGACTATGCAGATTTTCAAGCATAAGTGGATTGCTCGTTCCTCCATTACCGCTGCCTCTGCATCTATGGTACCCGATTTGGGTTGAGTCGGAGGATAAAAACGGGTTGAAGTGGTGCGTGTGTGGCGAAATAAGCCGAGTTACCTCCTTAAACTCATTGCGAACAACGTCGAACAGTTCGATATGGCGGAAATCGGAAGTGGGTCTCCTGGTGGCCAGAGCGATGAAGCTCTTGTTCCCAGGAGAAGCAGCTGGTGTGAAGGCATGAAGACCCGGTGGCGTGACTCGTTCTACTACCACTAACCCAGAACGAATTGTTGCCTGTTGAGGAAGGATCGCTCTGTAGACACTCCACCACCCATCGTCACTTCTACGGTGAAAATACAGAGTAAAGTCATCGACCCAACAAGGCCAACCGCCATGTTCAACCACTTTAATCCTCTTGGACCCATCTCGAGTCCTGAAAATATAGATATCGGTATTCAGATCTTCAACCTCCCCGTTCCATCCTTTCTCCCCAGACGAAGCCACAGCCATCCAAATCCCAGAAGGAGAAATAGCAGGACTGAAGTCGGCCACACCATAAGGCGTCAACCGCCGAGTCTCCCCTGTTCCGACATGGGTCGAGTACACCGCAGCCCAGCTTCTTCTAGGCACCTTGGAATCCTCATGGGTCGATACGTATATAAGATAATAGCCTGAGAGCGACGGTCGGTCTTTCAGGGAAATTCCACCGTTGCTCTGTTCTGGGTTTAACAGCGGAACCTGAATTCGACATGGGGTCTCAAGAGCCGACCTTCTTATGGGGCTATGATGATAATACGCGTCAAGGTAAATGTTAGAGGAGCCGTGGCGCTCTGTGACATAGACGATAAATTGCAGAGGGTGTGGGTCGAGGGTTAGAGTTCGGTTGGAGAGGAGATTAGAGAGAATTGAGGAAGAAGAGGGAGAAGGGAAGTGGCCGTTGAAGTTGACTGACTCGCCGTCTGTGATTTGAAGCTCATCGACGGGGCTTGGTGTGTGAGAAGAGGTCGGGAGGGTGAAGATGTCGAAGGCGTAGCGTGACCTCCCGAGCGTAGTGAAAACGATGCTGCTGCTGCTCGATCGCTCGTCATCGTTTGCTACTGTCCAGGATATGATGAAGAAATAAGCGAGACAGAGAGAAGATCGAAGCTTCATCTCTGAAGGTCTCCTCGACTGTCGTCCCACTGTTCTTTGCCTGACAAGGAGCTTGCTCAGTGAGTCGGTGGATAAGAAAAGGGAGTTTCTGGAGAGTAGAGACTGACACTGAACTCTTGAAGTGAACTCCTATGAGCTATGATGCACCAAAACAAGAGAAAAGGACTCGGGACGAAGATAACACAATGGTTTGGTGCCGTTGGATATATCAAGAGATGAATAATATAGAAAAGAGCTGTGGCATAAAATAATAATGTAGAGCTCGACAAATGAAAATTGTTGGTGGTTGTGAAAGAAAATCTTTTGAGGATAATACCTTGTCTGGTTTGTGGTTCATAAATTTGTTTATATGGATTGGAGTAAATTATTTATCCCACTTACCAGGAAAGTGAGGGAAGGGGAGAGGACAACATTTGCTACGGTAACATTTGATCAGAGATTTGAGATTTCTGTCCCTTTTGGTTGTCCGATTCAACTCTCTTTCTACTGCCCCCACTAACCAAAGGAAAGCCGGAGGAGTCCGGATCTGCTCCTCACCGCCTGGCGCCTCGCAAGTTTCTCACAAAACGTGAGGACGCCACGCGTCCCCAAAATCATGGGAATTACATTCACGAGTGGGGAGCCTTAATTGCCGTTAGTCACCATTCGTTAGCCCCCCACCGAGTATTCCTCCTCCGCAAGTTTTATTTCTAATTTTCTGTTCTTTCCCGCTAAAGTCCTGCTAAATTCTAGCGCCCTCTACCGATTGAGTAGTGCTTTCTCCGGCGGACAGCAATTTCACCAGCGACAATACAAAGTCTTTCTACGATCACAGGCGAAACGAGACTGACAACTCTAACCGGAAGAAAGGAGAAATTACAGAGTTCGGAAATATTTTGGCAAAAACTACTGGAATATGACGAAACAATAAACCAAAAGCATGGAATGTTTATCACCGCACTTATAACTTTAGGATTTTTGTAAAGAGAAGATGCAGAGTTTGAGCATAAGAAGCAAACAAATAGAGGCACAGACTACGAGAGTGAAACCTGGCACTGGGGACCCTAGAAGGGACATCAGTCTCGAACTCAACGGGCAAACCGAGAATGCCATTGTAGCGATCGAAAGTAAGGTGGGAGACATGCCTGACATTGGTAGGCCAGGTAATATCCTTGGCACAAATATCCTCCCTCTCCATGCTACATGTCACCAACGACTTCTTTAACGCCGCTAGCAAAATTTCCAGAATTGGGAAATGATGACGCTCATCGCTGGCACCTCCCTCTCTCCTTGCATGAATTATCAACGGAGTGGATATTGGATTGGAAAAGTAATTGTCACTGTCATTATCTTCCTCTCCTTCTTCGTCTTCGTTCTCAGTCAGATATAATGACGGAATCGGAGGGGACAACTCCAACACCGATATCCGTCCAGGTCCACAAGACCTGGATTTGAAGAGCTAAGCCATAGAATTACAAGACAAGTATGAAGAGTTTCAGGAAAATTAGGAAGAAGTAGTAGTAGTAGAAAATACTACAACTGATGGAGGGCGTTAGGGTTTACAGGGGCTTAGCAAGAAATCAGAAATAAGACTTGCGGAGGAGGAATAACGGCAAATAAGGCTCTCACGTGATTGACACGTGGTGTCCTCACGTTTTGTGAGAAATTTGCGAGGCGCCGGGCAACGAGCAGCAGTTCCATGACAATTGAGTAGCTTGCAGCATGAAAAATAATTATGCCCCATCTTGTTCATTTCATTCATAGAGGAAATTCTACCAATAAAACGTTGCCATAAATATTACTTTTGCAAAATCGCTTTTACAAAAACACTTTTATGAAAGTACTTATACATGAAAGTATTTTTATGAAAATACTTTTACGAAAGCACTTTTATGAAAATATTTTTACATGAAAGTATTTATATAAAAGCATTTTTACAGAAGTACTTTACAAAAACACTTTTACGAAAGTACTTTTATAAAAGTACATTTATAAAAACACTTTTATAAAAGCACTTTTATGGAGTACTTTTACGAAAATACTTTTATAAAAGCACTTTTACGAAAGCACTTATAAAACTTTTATGAAAGCACTTTTATAAAAGGACTTTTACAAAAGCACTTTTATGGAAGTACTTTACGAAAGCACTTTTATAGAGACACTTTTAGGAAAGTACTTTTATAAAAGCACTTTTACAAAAGCACTTTTATGGAAGTACTTTTACAAAAGCACTTTTATGGAAGTACTTTTATAAAAGTACTTTTCCGAAAAGTACTTTTATTTCCTAAAAGTACTTTTATAAAAACACTTTTACGAAAGTACTTTTATTAAAGCACTTTTGCGAAAGTATTTTTACAAAACATCTATGCCAAGTGGTAAACATTGACTGTTGGAGACCTAGGCTGGCGGTTTGTAAATACCAACACGGTTTTTTTTTTGAAGAATGAAAATGAGCAACATAGGTCATTTGTCAATATGAACAGAATTCATTTTTAGGAAAAAAAAAAAACGTTTGGTTCATAGCAATATTTTCTAGTTCTACCTATTTTTACCCATTCTTATCCGTTTTAAAATTTCATCTTAGGTAAGAATGAGAAATAATGAGAATTGAACCAAACATGGTGAGGGGTATGGTTGGTTGGTTGTAGCATACACTTGTAACTGAATATCACCTGTACCAAGGAATGTGAGATTTAGGCTTCGTTTGGGACGACGTAAATGCTGGTTCGGTGTGTATAGGCATTTTGATTTTATTTTGCTAGTGTTTGTAAGAATGCACTTATGTACCGAAAGTGACAGTTTCTATAAATTTCAAGGCATGTCTGCACTGAAGATCAGAGTAAAGTTTACATAAAAAAAGATATAAAACTTTGCACTCAAAGTTGATCAATGTTAAAAAGTTATGTTTCAATCTTGGGAATCGGGATTCATGTTTGCATCCGTTAGAACTAAGAATTATTTGGCAAGAAATTAAATTTATCATACAAATGCAAATATTTGTATGAACCAGAATGCACTCTACAAATTTTTATTTGTACTCTATTTGCACTCTTCTTAGGATTGTGGGAGGGCTCTCTTCTCTCCACCTCCCCCTCCACCAACTCTTACTTGTTTAAAAGCTTTTTTGTTTTTTCTTGTCAATCAAATGTTTGAGAAACTAAAATAATCCTGTTTTTTCGGGTAAGCAATATCTTCATTATAAAATAGGATAAATACAACCAAACAGATGCAGCACAACAACAGAAAACAGAAAACAATGAGACCAAGGTTACTTTGTATATAAATCTAATTCTTTTAATAGAGATGCTAATGCTTTGGCTCAAAAGGCAAAATATATGAAAGATGTTTGTTATTGGTGGAATGGAAATAGCCCACAACCGGCTGGAATAGCCACTTAACTATCGGACAGTCTTTCTGTTTAGTTAATTTAAGTTCAATTAAAAAAAAAACTGACCAATACTACCTAAGACAAACAAGATTAAGCATCATTAGACTCAGCACAAACACAATCAAACAGCCACTTCAGCCACAAACCAAACAACAAACCAGGCTACAAGACAGATGAGCTGCCTAATTACCACCCTTACCTATAAAGGAAGCCAACTGAGGGGTGGTTAGTTGGTATGTTCCAGTAGAGATGATGATTCGAATCCTGCTGCCACCAATTTTGAGAAGGGGGACCATGAATGTGGTGCTGCGCTACTTAAGGGTGTGAATGGACCAGTTTTGGATTAGACTCCATCCAGTCCAAAATCAATTTGGACGGATTGGATGGACCAACAAGACATATTAGATTGGACCAAAAATATTTATTAGATTGGATTAGACCTGGTCCGTCCATAACAAATTTATATTGGATTGGGTTGGATTAAGCCAATATATGGTCCATTGATATAAAATAAGAATATATGTGTCAATAGACCGAGTTCGGGTTGAAAGCAATCTAAATTAAAATAAATTTGAACAGATTGGATGGTTCAAACATTGAATTGGATTGATCCAAAATATTCATTAAAATGGATTGGACCTGGTCCATTTATAATGGACTCACATTGGACTGGATCGGGTTGGACCAAACCCAGTCCAATTGACACCCCTAGCGCTATTTAATGGACCCTATGGGGGGATTCGGGTGTAACATCAAATACCAAAAGAATTCCTACCTACAAAGGAGAAGGATATCTGATGATTTCTACATTCAAACAAAATATACAGCAGAACAACTAGAGCTAATCTACCAACAAAACTAAAGCTAGAAGAGGGAGACTTTTGGTGATGGCCAAATTGTCACTTTTTATGATCACTTACCCCAAATTAAGATCCTTTATTAGCACCAATTTCTACTGATTTTCTCAGGTATACTTTTGGACGATTTGGTGCAATAAACTAGCCTAGTGGCTTATTAAGAAGCCTCAGCACAAGAAGAGAGCTGAATTTGGACCATAATTTATAGCCAAACCGACCCAATTCATCTTGCAAAATCAGCCCAAAACAATCTTTGCCCTAGAAGAGAAAACCAACATCTACGTTCACTTTAAGCAACCCATGGTTAGGTGGATGACTGCGTTCCACCTTTACTCTTTTCTGGAATTAGTTACTTTGATAATACGATGCAAAAGTACATCAATAAAAAAGAAATAAATTTATATTCCAGTGAAAGTGGGCTTTTGATAAAAAAAAAACATATGCTTTATTGGAATTCGTGTTTGCATCCATTACAGCTAAAAGTCTGTTTGGTAAGAAGTAAAATTTTGTTAGTGCAAAACTAACCCAACTTTGCAATTTATATGAATCATTTTACACTCTGTAAATTTGCATTCACACTTATTTGCCTCGTTTCTAAACACAGCCTTAACAACATATTGCAAGTTATCTTCACATTCATGGATGTTTATCTTTTGATCTTTATTATGATTTCCAGACCAATTGAATTCATTAATCCAGAATTTCCAGCAGTTAGAAAAGGACACGAACTCTTCAAGCTGTTGAACCAGTATGAAGAGAGAATCTTGTTATCAATATGTTCATGGAGAGGACCTATTACCTACAAGCTAACTTCATATCTTATTATTTCCTAGGTGGTGGCATTTATTCTCGTAAGAGTGTCTAGGATTTGTCTAGAGAACTCAGTAATTGTAGTTTGAGACACTTATAACTTGCTAAGCGTCCCCAACTTAGAGGATATTGGAGCCACCATTTGATACGCCATGGTCAAGCAATTTCTTACACCAGAAATGATCAATACGAGTAACTGGGTTTTGACCATTAAATGGCTTTTATCCAAGAAATTCATGCATTTGTTTATTCATTTAAAAATTATTATTTCTTTTTCTTCAAATAAAAAAGGAAGAAAAAAAGGGTAAATTACAAATAGATAGGCTCAGTTTGGAAGGAATACGAATGCTTTTAGAAAAGTGAGCCTTAATAGCCTGAACTTTCAAGTGGGACTCCTGAACTTTTAGAAAATCACAAAAAAATTAACCATACTTAACTTCTATTTTACTGTTTTTTCCATATGAAACCATCTCTGTACTTCTTTTCAACAAAGAATAAAAACATTTGAATGGAACAATTAAAAAAAAAAGAAAAGAACAGAAAAGAAAAAAATGTAGGCATTTTTGTAATTCCACCCCCACTATAACATTATTTTTAACAGAATTGGACTAAAGCTCAGGAAACTAAAACATCACATTTAAAAGTTTAGTCCCTTAAACGTCATTACTCATTACCCAAAAGTACAAGATATCCATCTATAATTTACCCAACATGGTGTTTATGGGCTTGGAATTCATGCCCATCACAAATTCCATTTTAAACTGGGATGGGTTGACTCTACGTAAATTGCACCAGCATCAAATTTCCAATGAAATTTTTAGGGATAATTGTTGGTGCAATGGAAAAAATCTTATGCCGACAAAAGAGTGAAAATAGAGTTGAAGGTCCACCCTCATAGGAAGGGATGCTTCTTGGTATGTTCTCGAATTGAATGTATGAATGTATCTCATGTTATATGGAAGCACAAGGTGTCAGTGGCTCAATAGTTCAGTTGGTCCAAGGTTTTTAAAACCGACCTAGAGGCCGAACCGGTCAGGGGTTCGGTTCTTGGGTCAAACAGTCCAGCCATTCAAACTGAATGGTCGGTCCATTCTGACAAAAAAATAAAAATGGTCAATACTATTAAACAGTTTGAATGGTTCAAATGTTTCAACCACCTGATTCAGCGGTTTATTGACTAAATCAATGATTTTTTTTTTGCAAAAAATCGATTTTGGGGAAAAACAGAACTGGTCACCTAATCTGTTCCCAGTTTTTTCGGTTCGACCATCTGGTCCGGTCCGGTTTTAAACACCATGAGTTGATCACTTGGCATTAAGGATCAAAATATTGGTGTGTATCAATATGATTAATGCTTCAGTTTTTTTTTTTATTTTATAGGCATTAGAGAGAGAAGAAAAAAATTTCAAAATTCAAAAGCTTTTAAAATATTTATGTATCAATGTATTCATACGTATTTGAATACACCCATATGAATATGATATGCCAGATGTCCCTCCCTTTGAACAGTTATGGTTTCAAACCCATGGAAAGGCTGGGCCCATAACTGATGAAGCTTTCCCTTGTGGATTATGTAGAGAATTTTTCCAAATCTATTGTGTTAATGCTCCTCTATTTGATTGCATGTAGAATGAAGGAAAAATCATTATGTAAGCCTGTGTCCCCACCGTTCATGCCATATCAATTGTTAATTATGGACACTTTAAATCATTTATTGTTTCTTATTACTTCCACTCATACCTAAGTCATTTTTTTGTCTGCCTTTCCTCTTGTAGCCTCTTCAAAATTAAAGGAAAAATAATGAATTTTATTTTATTTCGCCATCTTTTGGTGTTTGGTTGCATATAAAATGGCTGAAAATTCCGATATTTCGAAAAAAAAAGGGTTCTAGTTGTAGAAAAAGGGAATCCTTATAATTTTCTTTTTGCCAGCCATTTTTTGAACAGATATTTTATCATTCATATATTCACTTATGGAGCAGAGGATATATTGAACTTTCCACCTAATTTTCCACGTGTAAACAGATAATGTATTTCAAATAGAATTGTCAATGGGTCACGTTTACCATGGAACCGATTTACTGGACCAATTATACCGGTTCTGATTCTGAATTATGTGTGCTAATTGGTTTGGGACCCGATAAGATGAAACCCATCATTTAACTAATCTATATTTCTATTAAAAGTGTGAATGAGAGTGTTGAATATTTGTTTGATTAAAATATTCAAACTTTTGTCTTAGTTACTCTTTAATTGTAAGAATAAAAATGTAATTTTAACAATCAATTTTTTCTTCATTCAAATCCTTCTTATTAAGGCCGTATTTACAAGCCGAGCAGACCGTGCTGTGGTCTTTTTCTGTTTGGTTTGTAATAGTTTTAGCCACCAAAAGTTGGTGCATCAAAAAGACGCGAGAAGCCCATGTTGGGCTGATTTTGTAAAGTTCTAAATGGAGCTTTTCACATATTTCTCATTTTATTCTCGTGCGAAAAGACATAAAAAGACGCACGGTGGCCAAATTAGCTTCGAGCTGCTAAGATCTTCATTCAAAATCTCAATGTGTCTTTTGGCTGTCAGAATTACCAAAAGATCTTCCCAAAAAGACTTGCCAAATGGCCCCTAAGTCTTGTATTTAAGGTAGTAATTCGCATTAACATTCATTGAATCATAATCTTGACTAGAATACCCTTGTTTTTGAATTTGGTCCCTCTTTAATTGTGAGGGAACAAAATAATGTTTTAAAAATCGACTCAGAGGTCGAACCATTTTTGCCTCCGGATTGCAGGTTGCTAGTTCTACCGTCCAGGTCAAATGGTTTAGACCATACCATGTCGGTGCTTATGTATTTTAAGTGTATATATATTATATATTTATATATATGTACGAATACATATTCTATTAATAAATAATGTATAATTATGTTTTAGATATGATATATGTATTATTTTATATTTAATCTATGTTTTTAATTCAATTTCTTTTATGTATAAAAATATTAAAAATTGCGATTTGAGGCCAAAGTTATGGCCTCCTGAAGTTTGCATAAAGAGTTAGTATGCAACTCATGACCTAGTGATTGGATCAACTGGGTGGTCAATAATTTGTTGACTCTATCAACGATTTTTGGTGGAAAGCTAGGTTTTGCTAGAACCCGAATCGAAAAATCAAGCGGGTGATGGTTCAAACGATTTGACCATACGGGTCAAGGATGGGTTGAAAACCTTAGAACAAAATGTAATTTAAAGTACTATATTTCTCCTCATTTAATTCCCTCTTGTTAAATCTAGTATTTAGGGTGTTAATTCTCATTATTTTATATCAATTAATTATATTAAAAAATAAGTATAACAATAAATAACTATTTTTATTGATGATAAAAATAAAATACAAACTTAAAACCAACACAAAAAATGGAGTTATTTTCCTATTTGACGGCCTTTTGGATCAAATGTGTAAACCTTGATCTTATACTTAAATAATAATAAAAATTAAGAAAGATAAAAATATAGAAAAATATAAAAAATACAAAACAATTAAAATATTTGATCCCCCCTCTAATATAATATATTTTATCATATTGAATAAAAATAAATATAAGAAATAAGAATAATTTTTATAAAAAAAATATAAAAAAAATTAAAAATCAACTATTTACTATCAACATCATCATCAAAATTGTCCCATGTAAACTTACTAGTAATATATAAATGTCTATTGATTTTATTAAAAGTACTCACCTTTAAAGATATAAATAATTTAACATTTTATTCTCATATTTATTAAGATTTTTAGATTATAAAAAATAAAGTTTTAGAGGTAATCGGAATAATCATTGATTCTGTTCTAGGTATATAATTTATAAAACCGATTAATAATCAGTTTGGCACCAACCCTGTCCACAATCAGACCTGACCCATTTACGGCTCTTATTCCAAGCATTGGGAGTTCGGGACTTGACCTCGGAAAAAACCAAGTCATCGGACAGTGGTTTATGTTAGAAAAGTATAATTTTGTGGGGATAGTGGATATATTGTATTTGCCACGTGTAATCAGACAGTAGGGGTTCCAATTTCCAAGCATCTCGATCATGCCACCTCATTTGCCACGTGTAATGACAGTGGATTCCAAGCCTATGGCACTCGACATCAGTTGGACAAAGAAACAAGCCATTCTGGATCCTTCTCTTCTTTAGCGTCGCCGTCTTACGCATTTAAGGGCAGTCAAAAATGACGTCAATGACAAAAGAAACTTAACAGCCAAGGAAGCCGTGCACGAATCCCTAGAACAACTCTGAATCTGATTGAAAACGCCCAACGCCTCCTCTCGATTTCCCTCGTTTTCGCTCGCGAAGAAGCACTGACTAGGAGCTACAGGCCTACAGCCATGGCCGTCGAACCATCCTCAGTCTGATGAGAGAGGGGATCCTCAGCTGAATTCGTTCCGATTCGTTTGAACATTATTATGCCTGATCGTCTCATCAACGTCCTTCTCCTCGCTTTCCTCCTCTGCACTTTCCCTAAGCAGTCTTCATTCATCTTGGCATTCACGACTCGGCAGAAAACTTCGATTCCTTCTTTGATCTCCGAGAATCAGATAGTTGAGCTTCTGATTCTCGAACTGAAGCTACGGAGCTTAATAACTGATCTCAAGATTACTGTTTTTTACTCTTTTCACGTCACTCACCTGTTCTTAGACCAGTGGTTTCGTCGCATACGAGCTCTAAACGTTCGATTCATACCCTTTGTGGATTGAGACCCATCTGGTAGGCTGGTAGATTCTTTACTGTTGCTGTAGTCATCATTCTAGTTCCATTCCTCATTTTTTCTCTCTGCTTTTTTCTCAACTCCACTTGCGAAATGAGCTTCTTGAAACCGTCGGTGTTCTCTCGGTTTCTTCTGACCTTCCCTTCGTTAAGATGGATGCCGTGTCAGAGTTGGGCGTTTCTGAGATGGCCCAATCTCGATGGATTTATGAGTGTTTTGGTGTTGGTGCTGATCTGGTCCATGTTCGCTGAGATTCGATTCATACCGTCGTCGTCTATGTATCCTACTCTTCGCGTTGGGGATCGAATAATCGCGGAGAAGGCAAGTTGTTTGTCCTTTGGTTCTCTTTCGTTATGCTTGTTTCAAGGTTTTGTTTTTATTCGCAAAATTTCTATCTTTCTGTTCATAATTCAGAATTGCTGATTGCCTTTATAATGGAAGTGTAAAGGTAAACTTCTTTAGTTATGCGATTCAGAAAAAAAATTTATTCGTTCATTAATAAGTTTGAACACTTGATCTCAAGTGTCTAGTTGAAGAATCCAGGATTTCTGTGATAATATACTTTAAGTTAACTGCATGTACCATTGGCCCCTTCACCCCTCGTAAATAAGTTCGTTCTTATAGGTGCATTTGTTATTCATTATTATCTTATTTATGATTTACGACCTATGTAGTCTAAATAAGCTTTTTTTCTTAATCTTTTTATCACTGATCAGGGTTCAAACAATCCTTGTCTTCATTGTTCAACTGTTTTGAAATTTTGGAGCTCTACTGAGAACTTATTGATAAAAAAAGCTTCACTGAGAAATAAGTTTTAAGTGCCAGAGTACTTTGGCAATTGGAGGATTTTCAGTCTTCATTAGTTATATCTAGTCTCCCCCCCCCTCGGGATACTGCAGTCCAAGTTTCTATTTCATTTTATTCTTGTTAGTTATGCACCACTTAAGTTCTAAGGATATGGTGGTGGACATGGGGGTATGTTCCTTGACTCTTGACCAGACACAAAATGATTATTCCATGTCGTAAAGGACTCATCAATACTGAACTTGGACTGAAGTGCTTCACTTTATGCGGCACCAACAACCAAGGGCATCCCCTTGGTAATGATCGTTTACATTTTACATGGGTCTGAATTACATTTAAGAAATCCAAGCTCTTCTAGCTTGTAAATGCACTTATATAATCAATTGATTTTCAGCACTCCTTAAAATACTAGTATATCCTTCAACCACATCTCTGACCCACATTAACTTCCATGTACATACGGTAAGTACACCATTTACCGGGGAAGAAAAGAAACATTCTAAAATTTACTTCTCAATCTGGCCATGGATTCTGATGTCCTGGAAAAAGCCAATGCATTTGCATTTGTTTTTTTTTTTTTGATCAGTAACAGAATTTTTATTGATGAAATAAAGTACAGCAATGAATGGATGGACCCTTCCCACCCCTAGTTTGGCTAATGCATCTGCAAAGGAATTTGCACTCCGTTTGACCCATTGAAATCATACTACTATATCCCTAGATAGACATTTGAACTTCTTTTTTTTCATTTGCATAATTCCATAGTCCACTCTCTTGTTTTTCTAGCCAACTAATAAACTACCTTTGGAGTCACCTTCAATAATTAGACTGTTAATATTTAATTCTTTTGCTCTTTTTAGACCTTCCAAAGCAGCCAATACTTCAGCCCTAAGAGAGTCACCTACTCCAATTGATTCAGAAAACAAAGCAAGCACTTGCCCTTCTTCATTTCTGAAAACGCCTCCAATACCCAAAGACCCAGGGTTACCTTCACTGCTTCCATCAAAATTGAGCTTTATAAACCCTTCAGCTGGTGGAGACCACATTGGACTACAAGCATCTTTCCGTGGAGAAGATTCTGCCACTGCCTTCCAATTATTCAGCAGCAGCCCTGCTGGAATGTCCTCAAACAGTTTCAGTATCTTCAACCATTGAAAGACTCTAGCTGTAACCACCTCCAAAACAGCACTTAAACTACTTCATTTCATAAGCTTGTCCTAAATACAAACATCTATATTATGCTTTATTTGTAGCCTTTCCCTCTATAGTTGGTCTCTGCATTTCTTTTTTTGCAACATTAATGCAAAAGAACCCATTTTATGTTAACAAAATCTGTGCTGTTATTTTCATCATTTCCAAATATTGCATGACAATGCTGAAAGTGTGACTTCTTCATCTTTTGTTTTAGTGTACTGTCCCTTTTTTTTGGGGGGGGGGGGGTGGTCTGTTCTTATTATCTTCAACTTAGCAACTTTTGGTTGTTATTATCTACTCAACTAAGCCTTATCCCAACTATGTGAGATTGGCTACACGAACCCTGTTCTGCCATTCTGCTGTCTTCAGTGATGTATCCATTGTTAAATTGGGAATTGTTAGTCATCAAACTGAACTCTTAATCTTTATTAACTTGGAAAATCTTGGCATTGCCACAAATTTTCTCTTATAAGTTGAAGTGCTGCAGCAGATTTGCTACATGAGTTTAACTTTGCATTCCTCCTGAACAAGTATGTTTTCCAGATTTTCTCATATTTCGTGGAGAGAGCAATGAATGTTAGAACATCTATTGTAGAACTAACACTTCTTAAGTCTGGAACTGGATGCATTTGGTGCAGGAATAATAAGTCAAGTATGTTCACTTTTTTTAAACTACGTTCGCATAAATATAAACTATGTTCACTTTTTTTAAGTTTTTATTAGCAAACGATACTGAATCCTCATGAGCTAAGCTAGGATGTAACTTTAAACATGTCATGCATCAAGCATGAGTAGAGCCAGCTTAAACAATTTTTAGTCTTTAAACATGAATAATGAGTATCCTGGTCAGGTCCATTCTTTAGTATAGTATTGTTATTACTGTTGTCATTGTTGTTATTGCAGTTATTATTTTTTGTCATCCATGTAATTTGCTTTTGGAATCTCTGGCAGGTATCATATTACTTCAAGAATCCTGCTGTCAATGATCTTGTCCTTTTTACAGTACCCAAGAATTTGCAGGTTTGCTCATGATATAAAATCAAGCACATTCCTATGGATACAATGAATTTGTTAAGAGTTGTCATTTTACTTTTGTGGGTCTCTTTGTAGGATATGGGATACAAAAAGGAAGATGTTTTTATTAAAAGAATTGTAGCAAAAGCAGGGGATCTGGTGCAGGTATAAACCCAAGAAATGAAGCTTTTGTATTACCTTGCTTCTACATCCTTGAAAATTGAAATGCCTTGGAAATGCTTGTAGCAATGTATGGCCTTCCAACTTTTTATGCTAAATAAATATGTTATTGATAGATTTTTCCCTCTGAAGAAATATTAATTGCAACATGTCTCAATTCTTATATTTTGCCAAATTTAATAGAATTTCTAACATATACGGGTATTTTTTGGCATGATATGCCAAAATAACCGTTTTACATATTTGGAAGTGTTAATTGTACAAAGTATACTCTTGCAGTGTCCGTGTGGTATCTGTGTTGTGCTGGGTACATATCCTGTCTGTTACCAGGCACACTGGGCATGTCCATGTATCTGGGTATCATAGATGACCAATGGTCTGTTTTCTGAGAGGAGGGTTTCCAGTTCATTTATTTCAGTTTTTAATATTTAGCCATCTCATCTTCCATTTTGGTATTTTGTTTTGATAAATGATGGAAATTTTATTACAACAGAAGGAAATATCACATGATTACAGAGTACATCCAGCAGAGGCACGAGATGCAGCCCCAGCCAGAAACAAGATTACAACTGAGCCCCAGAATAATTCAGACTTGAGCACCCCCTGTTTTGCAAAAAAAAAAGCCATCCCATTAGCTAAACGCCTTCCTAATTTCTTCCAACTCAAAATTCTTTTCCAACACCCTTACCACTTCTGGATCCAACCTTGGCCAATCTAACCCCTCCACCATTACTCCACCATCACTCACCTTATATACACTCTTAAAACAATCCACAAAACATTTTGCAATTTCCTCCTAGTTCCTTGACATTTCATGATTTATTTCCAATTTATCCACAGAATATTTCCTTATTATTACATTGGCTATTGCATGAAAGAATTTAGTATTACCATCACCCTCCTTAATCCACTTATGTCTCGACTTCCACCTCCAACAGATCTCTTCCCTAAGTAATATCTTCTCTAGTTCTTTTTTTAAAGTCCATCTTAAACTTCTCTCCTCAATCATCATCCATTTTATTATTCTATCCCAGCTGCTTCCAATTATTGGTCATGGGGTTTCAAAAAAGAAACAGAAGAGAGAATAAGGTAAATCTATGATATAAATGTGACAAGTTATGTAGGGAAACAAATTGTGCATTGGGATGCTGATTATAGGATGCGATGCTTATTTCCAAGGGAAGAATAGGAATCTCAAATAATGATGATTAAGATTATGATGCAGATGGAGCTGGAGCAGCTGTAGGCATAATTTCAAAAGGCACTGAGGTGCTTGCCTAAAGGCAAGGCGAAACCAAAATGCCTGGCTTGAAGCGCCTTGCCCTTAAGAGCCTACTGCGTCTATTTTTGAGGGGCTTATGGCTTAGTGCCTTTTGCCTTAAATTGGTGAGGCGTAAGTGTCATACAAAAGCATTAAAACTGAAAAAAAGAAAAAATATTAAAAATTAGTTATAATAATTCTTAAAATTTAACAAAAATGATTATTTAATTGTTTGTAAATAAAATAAACCAATTTATACTAAACAATTTCCTAGAATACTTCTTTTAAACCAAAAGTATGTTGTTTTTTACCCTTGCTAAATGTACATGTTAGAATAGGGTTTCTTTTCCCCAAATCTAATTACAATGGGCAAAAATATCTTTGTACAAACAAATTTTACTAGCTTTAATTCTTCTTTATAAATTAGGTTAAATTGAAAAAATCTAATATATATGTATATAAATTAAGTAAATTATTATTATTTAGTGAAAAGGGCTCCGACTTGTAAATTTAAAATAAGATTTTAAGAAGTATCACATTAAAAAGAACATAATTTAATAAAAATAAAATATATAAATAAACTATGAAATAAAATATATTTGAGAAATATATAAGGAAATTAGAAATAATTCACACACACACACACACACACATATATATATATATATAAATGAATGGATAATTCTATTTAGATAAATTATTACCATGAAATATATGATTAGTTTTAAACAAAATAATTTGTGAGAATTTGTAAGTTATAATATAAAATAAAATTTTAAAAAACATAAGGTTAATATTAAAAACTATATATGAGTAATGAAAAAAAATTATGTTTGCTATAAAATAAAATAAATTGTGTGGCTATATACATGCATATGTACATACATTTTGTTTATATACAGAAAAGTTAAAAATTAAAAATTATATTTATACTTTGGGGTTTTATGGTTCAAACTGCCTTGAGGCATACGCCTCACCTCTGAGGCACCCAACTGCCTTGCCTCCACCTTTATCCTTTTTAAACCTTGGTTTTAGGGCAGCCTTATAAGTAATGAAATTGTAGTACTTTAGTTGCTCATGTAGACTTTTTATGACCACTTGAGCCCATAAAAAGTGTTAGATTCGGCAGACCAGGTGTCTTTAGTCTTTTTGTCTTTATTTATTAAATGGTGCTTTGTCCTATTTGTCTGACTTTAAGATACTTGTCTTGCACTTAATAGGGGCATAATAGGGTGAGAGATTATTCTCTCTAGTTTTGGATCATTGTTTCATTTTTCTCTTCTTCTCTTCTCACTTTCTTTTTCTTTCCTTTTTGACTTTGGACTAAACTAGTAAGGACCAAACCGTTAAAACAAAAAATAATTGAGACTTTTATTTCTGATTTGCACCCCCGCACCATTAGTAGTCCCTAAAGAGGAATTTTTGCTTGTGCATTCCATTATTGCTTTCATTCAGGTTTGTCAGCCATAGAGCAGAGTTGTGAAAAATAGGTCAATTTATTCCAATCACAGGGCTTGAACTTACACTAGAACCCTTAGCAACAGAAATAATATCTTACCAAATACCAACACAAAATATACACCTAGGGACAAAGAATAATCAGCCAGCATAGCAGGTGTAAACAGTGATAAGTAACTGGGATTTAGGCTAATAATCTTAGAAGCAACATATGAAAGCACCAGGTATACAAACTCCAAGAGATGAGTTTAAAACATTAACTATGGGTGTAAAAGACTGGATTTAATCCAATATCAAATTTAAATTTGATTCATTTAAGTCAGATTGGGATATCTGGTTGACTATAATTGGATCAGATTGGGTTTGAAAATGTTATCTGTTTATTAATCAGATTGAATTTAGATGTTGTTTGACAATTACCTAATCCGCTAGGATATGATTCAATTATATATAATTATATAATATGTATATGTATATGTATATTGTTATTTATGTGGGTATCGATTATTAGACCTTTTTTAGTATATCATTTAAAATGTTGTTTAGGATTAGGTGGGGGTTGGGATTTAGATAACTCTTTTTCTATTTATAATACATAGTATCTTGATTTATATTATTTTTAAGGATGGAAGAGTATATGTGTTTAACTTCAAAAGAGGAACCCTCATGTTTCATATTTATTTTCCTAGAGTTATACTAATTTTATGCATGCTTACTGAATTTCAAATTGAATTGGATAACTGGATAAATGAATAATCCAGATTCAAGGTTCAAGATATTGATACAGGCAGATACACCGGTAGGGCATACTGCTTGTATTGCGCTTCACTTTTATTTTTTCTTTTTAGTTTTTTTTTTTTTTCAAACTGGTTCAGAGGTGTTGGTCTAAGGCCCGTCTACCCCCGGAACCAGGTCAGACCCCGAAGCATCCACTATAGGGGTGCACTGAGAGGTCATCGGTATGGTCCAATATGTATTGATATTTTGAACCTTGTCCAGATTCTTAACTGATCATATTCTGGTATACCTGCACCCATAGACCGTTTTCCAAATTCGAACTTTAAATTATTTAAAATTAAGTGTTTTTTTTTTTGAGCGAAAGTAACTGAGAATGTATTAAAAGAAAAAGAAGAGGTGCAGGAGAAGATGTACACCAAGATCCGGGCAAGGTGGAAACAAAAGTTACACTGGCAGAAATCTGTCACTAGACAAAACTTCCCTATGAGAACCAGATATGGCTAAGTCATCTGCTATAGCGTGTATCTCCCTAGGGATCCAGTTCAGCTTCAGTCATTGAGTCTGTAATGTCTCTATCCTCTTCCAGAAAATGATCCGTCCTCCAAGGACTACTATCCTTTTGCCCTAAGCCAGTTTATAGTATTAGCAGAATCACCTTCAATGGTTAGGGAGGGACAAACCTAACACTTTAGCAATTCGAAGCCCAGTGAGTACAGATGAAATCTCAGCCTTTGTAGAGTCAGCATTCCCTATTAGTTAACTGAAGGCCAGACAAATATTCCCATCTCTCTCCCCTGAATATGCCACCAATCCCTGCCGCACTTCCCTTGGGCACTACCATCACAATTTAGCCTCATCTCCCCCTCCTCTCTTGAAGGGAAGTTATGGGTAATAGCACAACAAGGAGATGAGTAGAGGATCTCTACCACATTTCGTTGAAGATCAATCAAGGAGATTCCTTTGGACTCTACTGACTTAACCATCCAAAAGTTACATAAATAGGTAATGGAGGAGATCGGTTCTTCAAAGGTTCTGGCTTTATTTTCAAAGATCCGATTGTTTCTTTCTTCCCACACGTCCCACATTGTTTTCTGTGCCACTGTACTCCAATGAAGTTTCCTTTTTGTTCCTAAGCCTCAGCCTTTCCATTGCCAGAGAAACTCCACATGGTGCTCAGAATTACCCAGCTGTAGCCAGCTAGCTTGAGGAAATGGAGCCAAATCTTCCTAGTAAAGGGGCTATGTAGGAGGAGGTGCTTGGCTGACTCACCATCACTAAGGCAAAAGGTGTAAACATGAGGAGAAATGCACAACCTAGCTTTATTCTTCTGTAAAAGTTTGACAAGTGCTTATTTTCTTTAGGCAAGCCTTCCACATGAAAGAAGAAAGCCTAGGAGGGATGTTGGAGCCCCAAATCTTCTTAAACAGGAAGCTTGAACCCTGAGCTTCCAACAGCAGGGCCCTGAAGGACTTAGGCCTTGTTGGGAGACTTTTATAAAGTACTTTTGTACTTTTGAAAGTACAAAAGTATGAAAAACACGATATAGCATTTGTATTATATGCTTTTATAGTTTTGCTTTTATACTTTGGGCGAAAGGGTGATTTCTTTTTTGTGCGAATGGGTGGTCATGTGTGTCCACCCTTAGATAAAACTCTCAACCCTACCTCTGCTCGTCGCTGCTAGAGTTGGACCACCATCGTCGGTCTTAGACAGTGAAACCATTGGAAACTATCATTGGAAGCATGAATGAACGTGCTTTTGCCAAACAGAAAATGGTACTTCTATTTTGGAAAGTACTTAAAATTTTTTACCCAAACAGTTTTCAATGCAACAATACCAAAGTAAAAGTATTTTATGTACTTACAGAAACAGAAGTCTAACATATACCTTTGTAGTCTACTTGCAAATTTGCAATATGTAGTTTCTTGCTTTATATTTAACTTCGTTGATCTACGTTTGTTTTCACTTTCTGTATAGATTTTCCAAATTTCAATTGAATCAGATATACAGATATTATAAATGAATTGAATTTGTATTGATATTTTACATATCTGTCAGATATTGAATTGAATTTGTATCTCATGGATTCTTGTCAGATCTGATCTGGATATATCCCTATCTAACTTTGCAATTGGAACTGAGCCTTATGCAGCCCTATCATTAACTTTACAATGTAGGACGCTTCACCCATACAAGAACAAAAACAGCACATACACCAGAGACCAGACAGCCACTGCCATTTATGTTACTTAGTAAGATGGTACACACGCACACAAGTATGGAGGGAAAATCTATGCTGCTGGAAGAGTTTTGACAAATCAAAACCACCCCCCTCCAGTCTCGTACTCGAACCCAAATATGGAAGCTTGGTGTCCTTGATAATCGGTCACTAATACTAATGTGAACAAGAGAATAAACATGATGAAACATTGTAGGAAACCAGATCATTATGCAAGGTAAATTGCATTACTCAGGGAAGGGAAAATAGTAAGTTGAATAATGGAAGAGGGAAGGATCATAACCATTCATGAGGACCATCCTTTCTATGATAGATGAAACAAGGATATATGAGAGAACTTTAGATGACTTAAAGAGTGGAACCACAGATCAGCCTCCTTGTTTTACTAATAATATAAGAAACATTACTTAAAGCTGGCATTGATGTTATTGGGTCATCTTTTATTTATTTATTTGCGTGCATTTTTTTTTTTTTTTTTGTCTTTGAAACTTGTCTGTACGGTAAGCCAAAATATGTTGAAAATAGTGGATACCAGGGTCATATATGCATTTCCTTGTACATTCTTCATGTCCAAGATTTTAGACTCGGAGGAGTCGGTATTATTCTAGCTCCTGTTTCTAAAATCTGTCTTAACTTCCTTTGCAGTTTCAGCATGGTATGCTTTATGTTAATGGAATTGCTCAAAGAGAAGATTTCATAACAGAGATGCCCACCCACTGCAAACAGAATGAAACTGTGGGCTCCCTCATCTATCAGCCCTTCATGATTTGATTTTATAATTATCTTTCCATGAATTGCATACCGGCAGAGCGTGTCCTTGAACAACATTATGGGGTGGGAACCGCCAGGGCAAAAGCTTACAACCAGTCCATTATATCTCCATGACCCAATGTGCACAATATTATCTTATGAATAAAGAAGGGGAAAGGGAGCCAAAGAAGAGAAGAATTAGCCCGGTGGACTCCATGTTGTTGGCATCTGAGAGCTTCATGATTATATGATCACCCACACTTGGATTCATCATGAGCCTCAGTCGGTGCACCATCTGCTTGGTCTGCTCTTTCATAATTCACCTTTGTTTCTCTTTGGGGGAGGATTTAGGTATTCCCCTTATAATATATCAATTTTCTCCATTTCTTCGATTTGCAGTGTGTTAGTGTACCACGAGGACATGTTTATGTGTTAGGCGACAACCGGCATAACAGTTATGATTCCCGTTCTTGGTGAGTAATCTTTGGCCATTAGAATCACCAAATTTGTTATTCATTGCGTTTTTTAGTCCTTTTTCTTATTTTTGCTTCACATCGATGATTTTATAGGGGACCTCTTCCTATTGCCAACATTTATGGAAGATTCATCTTCCGCTGTTCTAGACCCACAAACTCATGATCTCAGGGGATGAGAAATGAGCAAGGAAAATATCGACACTCCTTGGCTTGTGGAATTTGTATCGGACCTTTCCCATATTTGCTAGTGTACATGCACTTATCTATGCTGGTGTGCTTCTTATGTGTTGTTTAAATTACTAGTGTAGGGTATAACTGTGAGCATGTTATATGAAGGTATGGACAAAGAAGTGTATCTCTTTTTCCTTCAGTTTCTATTTGGATGGTAAGCATGAATTTGAAACATACAGATATATTTTTCTTCTTTTTTTAATCCCCATATAAGACCCATTGAAACCTGGGAGTAGATGACATTTGAACAAATTTTAACATTCTGAATACAATAAACATCCCCATCTTATCATTATAACCATTTTCTTTAGATGATTAGCATAGTTGTCAGCCTTGGTTTATGTTAATGAACTCCTTTAAGAAAGAATATAGCCACTGTTATCTATTCTTTCTTGAGATTCACATTTCGTTAGGACACTGAACCCTTTAGGGCAGGTTGCCCAAAGAGACATTAGAATCATGGTAAAAAGACTGCAAGCTAAGGCTGAACTAGGGCTACAAATGCATTGGATATTCAATTCTACATAGACTAAATCCAGACTTCGTTTATTGAATTTTATCCAATTGGATTTAGATCTTACTTCGAGTCTAAATTTGGATATTTAATATTATTAATAAAATTGAACAAAAAATGATCATAATATCGTATCATTAATAAAATAAATTGAATACTATTAACGATAAAAAAAATTGAAAACGATTTTGATATCGAATATATAAATATAACGAAAGAAAATCATTAGAAACTAATTTCTATTACCTATGGCTCTTTGGTACTTTTGTAGAACTTAATACTGTTTAAGTCCTATTGTTGGGCACCGTGGGGAGGGTTTCAGCATTGATTGATCCATGATTGAGCCAGTTCTAAGAAGCTCTGATTTCTAAGGCTCAGAGCCTGTTTGGGAGGGCTTCTGCAGGCGAGGTGCGTTGATTCAGCCGTGATGATTGAGCAATTGTGTTATGGAGAAGTTATTTGTACAGTAGTTACCTCCCTATTTCAGTTGCATTTCTTGTGTTTAGGTCACAATGATGGGCTTTTCGGAGTTTTACTAAACATGGCTTCTGGTGTTTACAAATATCTCACTTATCCGGATAAATGCACTTTATCTAGGTAAATATTGCCTGCGTAACACTAGGTATGTAATATAATAACTTTTTTACCCATAAAAAGCTAATGTTAAAGGGGGTAAATTTGTCTCATCATGTTTTATAAATTCATTTCTTTTGGTGTGAAAATTAAATAAAACTCTTTTTAGCTTGGGGCTCAGAACTTAGTTTAAAATGAACACTGTCAAGGTTTGAATTATTGATATATATTGGCTTATATCGGCCGATACATATCGTTCTAGGACCCTTCTGATATGCCTCTACGGTGGGTGTATCAGGGGGTCTGACCGGTTCAGGGGATGGAGGGGTCTTAGATTGGCTCCGCTGAACCAATTTAAAAAAAAAAATTAAAAAAAAATAAGTATTGTAACGCCCAATACGCCTGTACTGGTGTATCGATATTTTGAATTTTGAACACTGTAATACCATTGACCACCTCTCCCCTCTTATTGGGCCGTTAGTGTTTTTGAGCTTTGCAGGTTTTTCATTAAAAGCTGTTTCAGAGTTTTTCACGTGGGCTCTACCCTGAAAGGCGTATGAGCCCATCTGGGACATATAATCTTGGCTAGGCACTAGTGGACAGCCGCTTTGATCTCTTTGGATTATTTTACCAGATAGGTTGTCCATATGATCCCATCTTGGACAGCCCGAAGATGCTAAGCTTTGCTTGGCTCCTATCATGGGCCACCTCTTGATTTTCTCATTTAATCCCTAAGTTTTACTTGAAAATGCGTTTGGTGCTAATCCGGAGAGTTTCAGTTGAACCAGCTTAGCCTAATCTTCAACTCAGCCCTCTCAGACGGTTCCTTAAGCCTGTTTTTGGTTTGAAGGAAAAAGTAGGAAAATAAAGTGTAAGACAGGAAAACCAATACAAGGGTTGTAAAGGTTTTCTTATCTTTCCCTTCTTTTTCCTACATTTTCTTTTAAACCAAACATAGCCTAATAGTTTCTGTTTGCCTTTAGCATAAAACTTGAGTTTTTGTCTATTTCGTCGACATCGTACCACTCATGAGATTCTGTTGAATGGCTTTCTTAACTGCTACTAATTATTCTCTTTGTTCTTCCTCTACCCCTGAATCTGGAGTGTTAATTATCTTCACGTAATCAAAGAAGTTGCTTCCCATTTTTAACCACAGTTTAAACTTTAAAGTGGGGTTTTTTCAGAAAGCACTTCATAAAGTTTCAATCCTTTTTGGGAAAAAAGGTTGCTTTCATCGTCATCTTTATGTAAGTTCTCCTGAATGACTGAATCCTGATTTGCTGTTTCTGAGAAAATTTTAGCACAAACCCAAGCAATCAAGCATGCGTAGTTGTCCACACATCAAGAAAATGTGTACGTGAGATGGTGTAAAATGGTGAGATATGTACAGAAAAACAGTTGTTATTGCTGTGTCTACATTAAAGGCGCAGCCCCTGTCCCCCAGTAAACCGGCATATCTGCTTTTAAGCTCTTCCTGGGCCATCTTCCCTGAGCTTTAGTGCTTTACTAGCTGTCAAAACTACTGCAAGGCGCAGCCCCTGGCCCTCAGTATTTCAGTGTTCATTGAATTTGGAACAGTTTCCAGTTTTCTAGATGTTTGATTAATTTCACTTTTATAATGTTTGGAGTGGGGAGGTAACACCATTTGGTGATCTTAATTGGTGGATCATATGCTAATACAAACTCTCACTGCACGTTTTTAATTCATCAAATAGATGTTACAGATGGAGAAGGACACATATAATAGAAAATTTGTAGGTTGAAGAAAAAAAATTTGCAATTTTACTGTAAGACTTGGTTTGAAAAGATTACAAATGTAAATATGTACAGTATAAATACATACAAAATAATACCAAATACAAGGTTTTACACTCAACATGTTTGTATTTGTACTTGGAAGGAGTATAGATACAAATATTTAGAGTGCAAAATTTTGTATTTATATTCTTTCTAAACTGAACCTTAGGAGTACAAATATAAATATGTTGAATGCAAGACTTTGTATTTTGGATTATTTTATATGTATTTATACTGTATATATTTGTATCTGTATTCTTTTCAAACAAATAGAAATGTTTGTACACGCCAAATGCACCTATCAGAGCAAGGTGGAAGGTGAGAGTTGTTGTGGGGCATACGCTTCATGGCTGTCGTGAGGTGTTGTTACTGGTTAAAGAGTTCAACTGAGGGCCCCTTTGGGGGGGCTGAGATGAAGATTTAGCTAAGTTAGATCGCAGATAAACTAGTTAGAAAAGCTGAATGACTGAAGTCAATTTGGGCTGTCCAGATTTTTCACCGAACATAACTTATAATATAGGTTGTTTGTGTGGGACCCACCCCAGAAAGCCAGAAGCTAGTGGGCTTCGGGGCTCCTAGGGCCATCAAGTGCAGTTGAGTTGATCCATGCAAATGAGGGCTGCTGACTTCCCATTTGATATCTTTTCTGTGAACAAGAGGACTGCTGACTCTTAGATGTTTCCACCAATGGAGATGCAAACGGTTACAGCCATTGTCTGCGACATGCTTGGCTTTATTGCAGAGTTTTCATTGTTGGAACAATATATCTGAAGCATGCTAATTATCAGCCGGCGGGATCTATTACACTTTTTCCTACATTTACTAGACTAGGCAGTCCGCGTGTCCCATTATGCATGCGTAAGGACCTTTACATACGAGAGGAGAGCAATTGAATTTTGCACTAAGCCCCATCCTGCTAATTACCTACTAAATGTTTCCCAATCAATAATGCATTTACCTATAAATAACGGTTTCAATTATAAAAACTAATTATTAAAAGGAGCATTTTTATTCCATCCAAGTGTTAGGAATTTTTCTCCATGGGAAAGTTATTTACCCACGTGAAAGATGGGTATCTAAAAATAAAATTGGAAAAATTCTTGATTAGTACCTTGTACTTTGGGTCTAGTGTCGTTTTGGTTTCCGATCTTTAAAATACAACAATTCAGTACTCGAACTTTTAAAACATGACAATCAATTACCTTCCGTTAACTAGCTGTTAATAAGCCATTAAGTGACATTTTAAAAAGACAAAAATGCCCTTTAAGTGTCATCTAATTAGTGTGTTGTACATTGCCATATTTTGAACCTTGTTTGAAACACTATGTGATAACTAGGATTATTTAGTAGCTAAATGTTGATCATAAGATGGATGTTTAAATTGAGCAATATTTTCTTTCCTTAAACCATGTACCAGATGATAATATGTCCTCCTTTCCGTTTTATTTTTAGGGTTGTATTTTAGTCAATTATTTGGTTTTCTACATTGTAGTCTTCTGTCTTTATGGGTTTTTTTTTTTTTTTTTCAAAGCTTATACAAGTGAAATGGGTTCCCTAATTACAGAACAGAGTTTAAATTCTGAGGTTCTCTAGCTCTCTACCCCATTTATGTTTGATGATCCTAAACCCAAATGGTTGGGATAATTAAAGCTTTTGTTGAGTTGAAAGCACTACTAAACAATTCCATGAGACAACCCCTGTTGCAGAAGCAAATTCTGGAGTTGTATAGCTGTGTCATTGGGATCTGCTGGTTACATATTAGTAGGATTCATTGCTGGACCTCCAATAGGAATTCACCTTTGAGCATGCAAGTATAAGTACAATATGCGGTCTGTACTTATACGCTCGAAAGTGAGTTTCTACTTGAGATCCAGCAATGGATCCTGCTAATTAATAGGAAACCAGCAGATCCAAAGTGGTTGTAGCTACACCAGGAGTTATGAAATGGTAAGCAGGACATAGGTGACAACTAGTGTGAATATGTAACCATGTAAGCAACCATAAATGTCCTAGTCTTCTCACATCAGAAAACCAGCAAAAGCTTCTTAGAATTGCTTGAACTTATTATGAAAAGGACTTTGTTGAATAATTGAACAATCTTTTAGAGGAAAAATTATTACATAACAAGAATTGGGACCATCTCTGCATCATTGTTCTGTAACTTGGTATACTTACATGATCAGAAAACAGGGTTGGTAGAAGTGTGAACATTGGAAATTTGGGATTGCTTGGCAACATTATCAGAAGAAATATGTGGAAATTCGTGCTTCTCGGCCGATCTTATGGTCAAACAAGTTTGTTCATCAATTATTTAGAAA